TCATGCATTAACATATTTAAATGAACCATTGTAAATTGAAAATGTTGGCCCATCCAGAATTCTGATTAGAGATTTGACCTACCAGATCAAAGAACCAGCATCAGGTCAACTAGTGTATGGAAAAAACATGGATACCATGTTGCATCAAGCATTTGCTTGCAACCAAAAACATTTGATTACAATGAAATTAAGTTGAAATTTACTTGCATTTCATAACAATTCAGAATTAATTTTATATACACTATTACATGTATAATAACTAATGAGTAATAAACAAAATAAACAAGGAAAGTTATTCACAAGTGAAACACAGCATGACTGGATTGTGCTACCTACACTGTGACCTACTAAGCAATGCATTTGTGTTTTATACTTTTCGTTACCAACAAAATTAAAAATAAATACATATTACATTAATTATACTTAGTATTTTGTTTTTGTTTTTTTTGATTGACTATTTTTTCAACATTTCGCGAAGCCTATTTTAGAACCAAATTAAGGCCTTTCACTCTTCCGCGACGCCTAAACTAGAGATTTTACAGTACTTTATTGCCATTTTATACACAGTATGTGACACTTATTTTGATACACTACAGTGTTGAATGTCAAAAACGTACAAGTACATTCTACACTAGCTTAATTAATAACAGCAGATTTTAGCATGTTGTTGCCAATGCATTAATATAATGATATGAAACTTCACAGAAAGTGAATATTCATTCATTTAAACAGACTAGTATATTATTTTTATTACAGACTACCTCTTTCATTCAAAAGACACACAAGAAAAAAGGTCAAAATATATGCATATACCGTATTTATCCGGGTATAAGCCCAGGGTCTTGAACATGGAAAATTGCCAAAAAGAAGGGGTGGGCGTTTGCCAGGAGATCCCCGGCAAAAAAAACGAAAATTCGTGAAAATTGACAACACGCAGTTCGATCGAACTGCGGCAGGGAACAGAACGACAAATGAAAACATGCAACGGAAATAAATGAACAATATGCAACACTAGAAGTAGAACAAAAATAATGTATTGCTTATAATGTGACAAATTAACAGAAATAATAAAAATCAACAGTGAGGAATCATTTGAATTAGGACTTCCCGCCGACAAACACGCGTGAACTCAAAATGAATTAAAATGTCAGGGGTTAAACTGCGTAAAATGATTTCCGGTCTCAACAAATTACGAATCACCCGTAATACAAGATCAATAATAATTTTATAAATTTACACAGCAAAAATTATAAAAATTCATAGCTGTTTGAAAAAAACTTCTCAGATCTTTATTTGTACGTTCATTGTCATCTTCATCAAACTCAAAACCCTCAAAGTCCAAGTCGGCGTAACTGTAGCCGCCAAACAAAATCCCTACAACTTATTCTTGAAGTTCGTCGATATCGTCCCACACAATTTGGACTTAGCACTTTTAATCCACGGATTTCACAGTCTGTCAGCTTGGCACTTTCCATTCCTGTCTAATCATAATAAGAGACAGGAAAAATGGGGTCGCTCTGCTGCGATGGCACACGATGCTTTTGTTTACAGTCTGGCAATCATCTTTGACCTTTATGCATCTGCTTTACTGATTGGCTAAGAATGACATCACTACTATTATTTCATCATAAAGGTCAAATCGTGACATTGCTTTTTTATCAGACTTGACGCTTATTAATCACTGTGAAAGTTATCATTCAGCAAGTTCTGGCGGTTGGAATGTCTCACTATATGGATATCGCGGTGGACTTGAAGTTTTTTTTTTATCCAACGACAGAAGAATAGTTTTCATGACGGTGATGAAAGATGGTAAAAAAGTTGGCAGTTTTCGACGTGACATTGCAAAATTGCTGACCCCAGTTATGGATTCGCAAGCTGCTACAAAATATTTTATAAAGCCAAAATAACGTGATTTCCAAAGCTGTCACAGCTATTTTGCGTTCACCCCTTGTTTTAACAATTTTTATAAGTATAACGACAGACTTCAAGAAAGTTAACTGTTAATACAACCACAGTCAACGATAGAAAATAGTTTTTTTTTGTGTGTGACCTCAACTTCTTTATTGTGTCAAAAGCGGGGGGCGGGCATTTGCCCAGGCATGGGCTCTTACCCAGATAAGTACGGTAAATACTATTATGGTTCAAAACTGACAGCTGCATACTGTAATGCAAGATTTATTCAAACTGAACTGGGAAGTAGTTGACTTTAGTGCAAATGAATGATTTGATAAGGTGCATATTTTATGGTACTTACGATCACTCTGTGTTATTTTACCAAGTGGAGGTGGTCCCCTAGCGTGCATAATACCACATCTATTCGGCATCTCGTCTTCATTGGCGTACTCAGTCGTGGTGTAGTAATCCAAGGAATAGACAATACGTAAATACATAATCAATCTGTCTAGCACCTGCAATATAATTTAGATTAATTATATCTAGCATCAAAAACAATAAAATTTGCCATTTATCTCTCATTATAAGCAGAAAGTAAAATAGACTGACTGGTCCATTCTAAAGCTCGACTGTACCTTAATTAATTTTTCATCTCTTTCAAGTTGTACATCTGTGGATGTTTCCTTTTGATCGTTGTTAGGATCTGAATTTGTCCCTAGCAACTCGTCTTCTTCTGCACTGGCTTCATCAACAAGATAATCAGTGATATTTTCCAGAATAGGATTCTTTGATAGAATGAATGACTGCTGCTGGTAAAGAGAATTAGTTTAATACTTGAGAATTGACTGCTGTATGGGTGAAGTTTAAACTTGATTGGTCCAGGCAGTTTGGATATATACCAGAATATCTTACGTTCTTTAAAGCAACATGGCTGCCAGTCGGCCATTTTGAGTCCAATCCAAATAATGAAATGATGTGCATCCCAGTCCCACTATGTTCAACGTATGCAAATTTGGTTCTGCTCCAGGAATGTGAAAATGTGTGATTTTTATACATTTTTGGTTTCAAAATGGATGCCACTGCGACATCTTGTGGATGAAACAAAATGATCATGAAACAAATGTATGTGCATATGTCTGATGTACATGTGAAGTTTGAACTGAAGTCCAAAGCATGTGTGAGATACCACTGATAAAAACTTACTTGCATAGTAACACATTTTTGTGAACTGAAATTAAACTAGCTTGACAACTATCACAACATAACATAACACTACGCCACAACAATAAAATTAACACAAAACAACAACCTAGCAACATAACACAAGACAAAACAATACAACATCAAAACATAATACAAGATGAATTACACTACCTCCTTTTCTGGATCCGTCTTTTCACCAATGGCTGTTTGCCATAAGTGATGCCGGCTGTCAAGCATTTGTACCAGTTTAGCTGCCATTTTAATGTCACTTTTTACAATAGTTTTATGGGCTGTAATGCCACTGACAGGTCTTATCCGCCTTGTCAGATCTCTATTAACAACTGGAGCCAGTTCACAATCTCTTAGCTGAGGATGAAAAGCAATTATGTAAAACATCATTATGTATACTGCAGACAAGTATTGTAACTGTGTGGGCACAGGAAAGGGGTGAATATTCTAATTTACACTCAGGGTTCAATCACCTGCAGACAAGTATTGTAACTGTGTGGGCACAGGAAAGGGGTGAATATTCTAATTTACACTCAGGGTTCAATCACCTGCAGACAAGTATTGTAACTGTGTGGGCACAGGAAAGGGTGAATATTCTAATTTACACTCAGGGTTCAATCACCTGCAGACAAGTATTGTAACTGTGTGGGCACAGGAAAGGGGTGAATATTCTAATTTACACTCAGGGTTCAATCA